TCAAATTACTCATTTTAAGATTCATATAAAAAAGTACGGTGAAGGTATTTTTTATTATGGTAAACAATAGTAGAAGTTAAGCAGGATAATATAGGATAGAAATAATAAAGAAATTATGAGAATTATGAGAGAGTGAAAAAAGTAACGTAAAAAGGACATTAAGAATCGCTTATAATTACAAAGAGAATTCAAAGGAAACTCCTGGGCTGGTTAAAATTATGAACTTAATCGAAACTTCAAAAACCTTATATTTTCTGATTTTTTGAACATCAATGAAACTTCGAAATAAAAACTTGTTAACGAAACTAAGCTGAAAACTTAATTTTACAGATTGCGACAAAATAAATTTTAAAAAGTTTTCGAAACAGAAGCTTGAAAATTTATGCAAACTTCGCTTCACGTAGCTATTAAGATGTCCAATGCGATGTTCGATAAATAATACAATTCACTTCCGAGTGACCATTATTAGCATGTCTGAACAATACTCGTACATCGAATTAAATTTACAAATTGTGTTCTTTTTCATTCTGGAACGATAAAAACCTATTCATCTAAATACACTAAACTACATTTCTCAGTAAGAAAGATAGAGATGACCTCGAAACCTCCTCTACGCCTCCACCTACGTAGAAAGTATTTACATCACGAAATTTTGTATAAACCATTTTTCCGTATTTTTATAAATAATGGAAATATTCCAAGTGAACACAGTTTTTGCATCGTTCTGTATATCCCGTGAATCTTCTTCACACGGGTCACAGATGACCCAGCTTCGTCAGCCGACGATTAAGGCTGTGGTTGTAGTGGATGCTTATTCGGGCGAATTGACGTTCTGGCGAATGAAATATCTAAATACTGCAAATCTTCTGATTGTTTTGTCATATCGAGTTGGTCAGAATGCCAGTTCGTCCGAATGCACATCCGCTGTAACCGCAGCCTAAGTCTCAAATTGCAGGTAAATAATCTTCAAGCACTCTTATAATTCACATTGCAGAACTTATATACACATAACCGAGGACTCTTTAATCGTGAATAAATAATGAACATTTAGAACGATGAACATCAGGGCGATGAAAGACGTGTTTCATAGTAGTAGTCCGTAATATCGGCTGCAAAGCGACATCAAACATTTGCTCGTAAGTCGTAACACAACTCGTTCTTCGGTATTGCCAGTAGTATGTCATAAAAGCGAAGAAATTCATAAGAAGCAACGATGCTTGAAATTTTTCAACTTTCGTGTTTGCACGCCGCTCGATAGCAGCGGAGGAATCAAGGAGAGAGACATGCCTTTTAAAATGTATTTCGCGCGAGAGCGCGTTTGTATCATCTTTTAAGGTTAGGTAATGGAGCATAGTGTGCCCGGCCTTTATACGATCGAATAGCGAGAAAAATAGCGGTCATATCGGGCCGTTTTGTTCGAAAAATACCCAATACGTTTATCGTAAGGATACGTGGAAATTATCTGATCTTGCCAGCTCTATGTGACTATCCCAAAGGATGCTGCAGGAATATTAGCACGTAGAACGTATACCCCTACGTCATATCCGCTCGATAAATTCACAGGGCCATTAGACGACCAATAAAACTGTAAAACCTCCTAACTAATGGCTCGCCGGCTTTACAGCGGCGAACTTTAATGCCTCTTTTCATTTTATATAGACCGGAGAATGTACGAAGCGCTCAGTCATTAAAGTTAACTATTGCTTACAATGCCCGTGTCATATGCGAAATTTTCCAAAACTTTCCACTAATTTCCTGTACGATTATTAAAGCGATTCAAACGAAGATAGGTGATAAAAAAAGAAAAAAAAAATAATAAACGGACAAATCTTCACGTTTCCACCTCCGCCTATTCATTTTCACTTTTTCTCGATTTAGCGAAAATTGTCCGCGCAGTTCGGAAATGTTTGCGTTGCCATTTTGATTGCTTTTGAACAATTTACGATCAGAATGTATAACGTCGATAATGAAACAAAACGGGCAGAAAAATGAAAATGGAAAATTTTTATTTTCCTCGCGACGTTCAATTCTGATATAATGGAAATTTTATGGAATAATGAATAATGATTTAGTTGTGCTATGAAACCTTCTTCAACATCGCTGAAAAAATTGGAAGGCGGATAAATGACTGTAATAACAGTAGATTAATCAACATCGTTCAAAAACATATCTATAAATTAATCAATTTTTTGCAACATCGAAAAAGAGTAACTTTAATATTATCAATACTTGTACTAAATTCCATTGAATGAACAGCAGCGAAGAGCGGGTTCAACTGGCAAAAACTTACGTTCAATGCAATCAAGTAAATGATTCGTACAGTAGAGCTTTTTCTTGCCTTCGATTGTTCAAAATGGATTCTCGTTTTTGCACGATTAAACGAGGTGTACATTTTAGTCTCTTGATTACATTGTTCCGTAATGAAAAGGATCTGAAATAACAGTGGTGTTAAAAGGTGTTAATTAATAGCTGCACAAATTGTAAAACATTTTAACGCAGTTTAACAGCTATTTCAATGTGATAAAACATTCAAATTCACGATACTCTTAATCAGTTTTTATTCAAATTGCTAACCTTTTAACGTCACTATTACTTCAGATCTTTTTTCTCTGCGAAACAATGTAATCGAGAGGCTAAAATATACACCTTGTTTGATCGTGCAAAAAGGAAAAATTCACTCTGTACAATCAAAGACAAAAAAAAGAAAAAAGAGATTCATTATACGAATCGTTCATTTGGTTGTATTGAACGCAAGCTTTTTTTTTCCATTTGATCGTGCTCTTCGCTGCTGATTCAATGGAACCGATAATTCGCGTAATGAAGCACTTGCTTCTGAACGTACTGTTTCGTATTTTTTATACATTGGACACCTCTGTCCGCGTGTTTGATAAACAACGCGCTACAATGCTGATACAATAACAGCTATTTTAAACGTAAAGTGATAAAGAGTAGTAACACATCATTCTGCTAACGAGATGAACAGTAATTACGTGAAATCAGCATATATTATAAATTGCAATTTCCGTCATATACCTTTATTCTGCACGTTTTTTATGAATATGACGAATGAAAAATACACTTTCGTCCTTATTTTCTTCCTCTAATTTCCTTTTCACCGTTGTTTTACTGTAATGACATTTCATATGCAGGGTGCACACTGTACAGCCTAAAAATATCCACCATTTTCGTGGCATTTCAAATAATCTTACAAAAAAATGTGTGAAACAAAAGTTAATCAGCCTCGACTTACAATTAGCTACAAACTAAAATAATTTTTCAGAAATTTGCTTTTATAATGAAAGTCGAATTACATATTCAAAGCAACACTAGGACTGTCATACTAATAAGTTTATTAAACATAAACGAAATAAATTAAATCGGTTGAAATAAAATAATTTTTCATATTAACGTTTCTAATCATTAAGCGAAAATTTCTGAATTCAAGGTCATGAGAAAATCTTAGTGTAGTAGTAGGTCGTTGAATTCGTCTTGGCGTCAACTGCAACTCTGTAAAGTCAAAAATACATAGTGCCATACGTAAAAATCAAGGTGTCCTAGACTTTTTAATGGAAAAGAAAATTTTTGAAATAATTTTTTATTGCAGTTTGTAGCCACATCGAGACTGATTAACTTTTGTTTCAAACACTCTTCTGTGAGATTATTGGAAATGCAACAAAAATGGTGGATACTGTACACCTTGTATAGGATTAGTCACCTAAGACTAGAACCTGAAACATCTTCCAAACTGTCAATTATACCGAAAAATATTTCAGATAAGAGTTGAATGGTGTCAATAAAAGTGTCGAAAGGTGTCGAAAATGTCGGATAAAAGAGAATTACTTTGATTCAGACTCGTTTATTTCACCTCAACAACTTATGATCTGACAGAAAAATCTGACTGAAAATTTGCTTATACAGGATGTAAATTCTTAATCCTTCTTTAAGGAACCATAAGAACTATTCTATAATTTTACTGACTAAAAAATCACAGTTCATCGTTGACTCTTGCGAGATTTAGCGCACAAACGAATTTACAAAATAGCATTCGATTCAGTCAGTTAACCTCTTGCCTTGTAATAACGAGTGACACTCGCGACGTAGATTATAGTCAAGATGTGACAAATGAAAAATTGTATTTCTATTAAATTGATATTTTTACTTAACTTTAGCTTCAATTTAAAACTGACGATTACCAAGTATATACAGTAAATTCTCTACAAGTGTCATCAGTCAGTTAGGATTCTACAAGTGTCAGTATAGATGGTCCTATGCCTAGGCTGCGTCATTGCTGCGCCTATGTTATATAATATTGAAAATTTTTCTGGTGATTTGGTTTAGTAGTTAGTTGTGTTGTGTATTGCCAGCTCAAATATGAGCTGCTTAATGTATATGCTTAAAATGTATTTTTTTGTGGCCGCCTGACAGCAACCTGTAAATCTGGCGTGACAGTGAACGTGTTAATAAGTGTAAATGTTGTTCAAATTATGTCGTGTTTGATGTAGTTTTCATCAGAAAAATCTCATCAATATGTTAAGAAAAATTTCGGGATAAAAGAACGTAAAATTAAAAAAGTTGATATTTTAATCGCTTGGTTGCCTCGACTCACGTTTCATGCTTATCTTTTATTCGCTGTCCTTGTCTACGTTCGGCAAACTACAAAGGCGGGCACGGGGCTCGAAAACGTAGCCCCTGACTCTACAAGTGTCAGGTTTAAATTCCTTGCAAACTGACTCTTGTGGAGAATTTACTGTACTTACAAATTATATACATCTAATATCTTCACTTCTCTTTTTTTAACACTGTATTAAAACAGTGAACATCTGAGGCTAACATATGTATATCAAACAATCTTAAGACAAGGGGTTAATAATAACCCATTTAACAGCGTATCGTCGTCATCGAAAGGTTAACCCCGATAATTCAAAGGCATTGTGCAAGAACACGGATGCTCACAAGCAGTAGCAGGTCAATGTACGGTCAATATGATGGTTTTGTTACAGTTTCTCGACGCCTGCGAAAAGTTCGGTATAGTGAACGTAGAAAGAAGCCAAAATGCGTACGTGGGCGCCTTGGTGTTGCAGCAGCCACTCGACTACAGGGAGAGGCCCTTTTACCAACTGCTACTCAGGGCAAGCGTAAGTAGAACTTGAAAATTGATTTTAATTATGTTGCCGTCAAAACGTCCAGCTACTTCGCTGAACGTCATCCTGGCTAAGTCTATTCGTTGCAAGACGCGCGAGACTTGAGCAGATCTCACTATCCAAAGGTACGGATGATGACTACCAAGAATCACGACGCAAGTAATCAGCGTTTATTGTACAGAGTGACTCTTTTACTCTTTTATTTCAAATGATATCGAAAATGTTTCAAACATAGTTTGAACAGTGTCAAAAGAAGAGTATTGTAAACAGACAATTTTTTTCGAATTTTTTTAATGTTACCGATATTTTTCTTCTTTGCCGGAAAGCATATACTTTTTTTATGCATGTATTGACATGCATTCAAGTATATCTAACTTAGCACTTTACCGACCGGTAGCGGTTGAACATCTTACGCACTTCCCACCGCTCACTCAGCCGCAGATACATCGCTGACACCGGCTCTGTTTAGACTCTAGGCTATCGCGCGGGAATATATGTATGCGCTTTTTCTTATACCTATAGAAATGTTAAATAAAACTTCGACCGATCAATAGGCTATCGGTCGATAAGCGTCGGCGGCGAAAAAGCGATTAATAGGCTACCGGTCGGTAAGCGTTGGCGGCGAAAAGCCAATTAATAGGCTATCGGTCGGTAAAGTGTTAAGACCTCGAGATGGCCGTGAACATTGAAAAAATAACAAAATTCTTAGACAATGTTAGGTAGTATGTGAACTTACTTTTTATGTCACGAATGCTCAAAATGATGTCCATCGATAGCGATACACTTTATAAAACGAGCAATCACGGATTATGACGCTCTATCGATTGTTTCTGACGTAAAGACAGTATTAGCTTTAATTATGCCAGGGGTGTCGAACTTTCCTTTCAAGAGCCGCACGAGTTTGACTCTCGGTCAGCCGCTTCCGCCTTTTCTTTTCCTCCAGGAGTTGCACAAGTCCCACTACACACTTACGGCCCTGGTAGTGTCAGCTACGAACAAGGAACTTATATGAGCTCATTTTGGTTTCTGAGTGGCTCATTAACATATGCATATGAGTAGTGACTAGTCTGCTGATGGTCGAACTCGTGCGGCATTTGGAGGAGAGGAGTTCATCAGAGTGAAGTAGGTATGGAGGAGACCGTTCTCCTACGGCCCTGCGGAGCAGGCGAAGAGAAGAAGGAGCCTCATATGGCTCGCGAGCCGCCAATTCGACGCCCCTGAATTTTGCGATTTACCATGTCGTCTGGAATGACAGATTGCTGTCGGTAAATAGTGAATCTGAATTACGTTTATGAAAATACTGCAGATATTATCTACTTTAAAAAAAATTGAAATAATATCACAGTCCACGAGTCCTCGTTTTAGACAGTGTATCGCCGCTGATGGACACCACTTCCAGCGTTTATAACATGAGCAGTAAGTTCACATACGATCCTAACACTCTCTTCGATTTGGATCATTTCTTTATGTTATATTTAAAACACAAGCTGCTCCACTTATAAAATAGGTCTGCTATGCACAGAAGGATAATTATAGTACTCACTAGCGGAGATCTGTTTCGAGTGAGCACATAAATGTGACGAATTCACTGAGTTCGCTTGAAAATTGATTTTAATTAGACAGTCTTGGAATTGGCTTTGTACCGCTCTATAAAATAAAGTTATTCACGACATAAAGAGCAATATTTATAATAACAGTGTACCTTTAATGCACAACGAAACATAATTTCCAATATTTTGTAATAAATTTACTTTTTAAAAATTCGAGAAAAAAACTGGAAGTGATATTTAGGTATCTCTCGAAAAAATTCAAACTTTTCATTTAGTAATTACCTATGAAAAAAATTCCCGAACTTTACTTATTTTTAGACGCATCAAGGAATATACCCCCTTAAATTCCAACGTTTCGCCAGCATTAATTAGCTTCCTCAGGGTATCGAGACAGGTGAGCAATTAAAAACACCCGATTAGTAGCCAATAATCCGTGACATGAGCACGATACACTCTTATAAACCCAAATCCAAAACGAGACATAGCATTATCAGCGAAGAAGCGCGTTGTCCTCTGTAATAGAGATTTTTTGAAAATTTTTTCTCTGCAATTACTTCTACTATTAAGAAACGTTGATCTAAAATACATTATAGTAGATAGAAACGTAGACGAGTGATTTTGGCAAATTGACCTAGAGCTAATAAGCACAATTCTTATTAAGACGAAGTTAAAAAAAAAAAAACACGACATTATCAGTGTCTCGATATCCTGAGGAAATTAACTTCGATGTTAGCGAAACTTCAGAATTGGATTACTATTGGACATGGCTGTAACCCGTAAGCCTGAACTAACAATTCAAACATAGAAATGACCTCAACTAAAAGAGTTGACGGAAAAGCAGAGTATGTCCCCTTGCTTTAACCCCTTAACCTATGATTTCTTTTCTGACTACGCATGTAAGCGTCAGCCATTTTCTATTTTAGTACAGGTAAGAAAAGCTAATCTGTTACAGATTAACACTTTGCCGGCCGCTGTCACGCTGGCGTGACTTTTTCTCGCCAACGATTATCGGCCGCTGTCACATACGCGTGACTTCGGTTCAGCGCGGCTACGATGTTTCCACTATGCTTCTGTTTTAACTGTCCCGATTGCCTTTTCTTGACATTCTTTTTGTTCTGTTAGTTCTCAGATAGTCTTTCGCAGCCTTCGCATCTTGAAAGCTTAGATTCACTGTTATAAAATACCCTTCAAAATGTCACGCAATGAAGAAATATATGCCGATGAGTTGTCAGACGTGTACGATGATACTGATAGCAAAAGTGATAACGATTCGGATAGTGCGAGCGATATCGTTGTGAGAAGATTTATAAATAACGGAAGACCAATAATCAGTGACTCCGATAGTGACGAAGAGAGTTCTTTACCAAATGATTGGTCAGAAATTGATTTTGAACCTGACCTCCATAGGTGTCTGGAAGAGTCTGGATTGCAAACACCGTGCCCACAAGACATAATGTCAAGTGTGGAATTGTTTCTTGATGACGGTTTATTTATTTTAGTGCCTTTTTTAAGGCACGAGCAGTAGAACCCGCGCGAAACTCGCCGGCGGCAACGTAAATCCCATGCGACAAATTAGCGGCCGGCAAAGTGTTAATTACATTTAGCAATCCTCAGGCTTACAGATTAAAACGAATATTAGGGTTAAAATTAATTTTTCTTACTAATATAACTATTTTTGTCACATTTTCACCAGAAAATCTGCCAGGAGTCTGGCTCGCTGTTATAAGTCAAGGGGTTAAACACTGAGGAAGGTAGTACGAGAACAAGCTACGAATGACTTTTACATACGTGAATTTTACTTACAGGACGGGCTGAACAATGAGACCACTGGAGTAGAAATCAAGGTGGCAGACATTCAGAATAGCCCGCCGGAATTTCTGGACTCGCTAACGGGTGTGGTGCGTGAGGATGATCCCATCGGAACCTTGGTTATGACCGTCAAAGCTAGGGATGGCGACAGGGGAATGCCAAGGAAAATGATCTACGAATTGGTCACCAGTGAGTTCACGTCACATTTTATCTCTTTGCTAGTTAAACTTTACTGGACCTGACTTTATATCACTCCCTTGTTAATTAACACGTTGAATGTTACGAGGTAGCTGATACCTAACGTTACTAAATTCAATTAAATTATCTAGAATTCGCAAACTGCAAATTATAAATATGTATTCGAAGAATAATTGAAAATATGCATCTACTTTATACGATTAGTTAATGAATTATAAAAATAGTTACGACTGACGGAGAAATAGAAAAAGAGAATGCATGAATTTATTCAGTTGATATTCAATACAGGGTGGACCATGTACATCAAACCACCTAATTATCTTCTCTAGCTGTGGTGGTACGAGAAAATTTTTATACGTAATTTAAATGGTCTCAAAGGGTGAATAAGATGGAAGGAAAATTCTTTTACAAATGCCATTTTTTCTGTTTGTTCTTTTCAAGGTCCCTTGTTTTTTTGCATGAACGTACATACTTTTTTCTACTGTATGTTGTAGCAGACATTAATGTGCTTTTAAATATCCATAATAATGATTTTGGACACTTTACTTTCAAATCAGATATGAAATTTCCTTTCATTTTTTGCCATTTCTTCCATCAACAAAATTTGTCTTCCATCTTATTATGAAACCATTTGAATTCACATTTTCTCGCACCGCCATAGCAGGAGAAGATAATTAGATGGCCTGTTTTATGTGGCCCACCCTGTATATTAGAATCTAATGCAATAATAAAATTTCGTACATTACCCTACCCTTATCCTATGCTTGTACCTCGCTTTTATGTTGAAACTCGTTTTCTAACCTCAAAATTTACATCTTAAAAATCGATTTCCCGTTATAATTGAATTATTAATCACAATGGTGTTAAAATAGTTAAATATCTCGCATGCACATTTCTTTCGGTCGAGAATCTTTTATTAAATGTACGCCGAAAAATATTTCTCTTAAGGCATTAATTACTTTTTACGATAATATTTCTCTACAAATTGCGATATCTGCAGTGTTCTACAGTACGTATGTACACTTAAAATTCGTTAGAATTCAAGTTATTAATTAAATTCCACGTTTACTTTATTACAAATCGTAGTCTCTGTTATTACTTCATTAAATGGTTTCAAAGAGTGAATAAGAGGAAGAGATAATTAAAATTGTAACGAAACTTTTATCGCTGTATAAATTTTGTATATTTCTTATACAGATCCATTCGACTACTTCCTGTTGGATGATGAAACAGGCGAATTAAGAACAGCAAAGCCTCTAAACAGAGAAGCGTTAAAGGATTCTACTGGAGTGTTGACACTGAAAGTGAGAGCACGTGAATTAATCGACGGCATGCCAGGTAATGACAATCTAACGGTCTCGACGGCCGAAGCAACGGTGACGATCAAGGATGTCAACGACGAGCCACCCTCTTTTAACCATCGAGAGTACAATATTGAGATTCCAGAAAACGTACCGAACGGTACACCTCTGCCTCACTTAGACATGACTGTTAAAGATCCCGATGTTGTGAGTACCATTTCGTTAAAATGAAATTTTATTTCATAATTTTTTTTTTTTTTTTCAAGTAAAAGTAAAACTAAAAGTTCCTTTAACTATCGTTTGATTTATAAGGAATATTTCGAAGTGCAGCATGTCCATAGACAGGGCTGTATTTACTATAAGGCGCATTAGGCGCAAGCTGGGGGCTTCATTCTTTATAAAGCCACATGATAAATGCGGTCCTGCCAAAGTATTAAGGTGATCACGATACACGGTTCACCTTGTATAGTAGTTTCATTATTAAAATATATTTCATCCTAACTGAGTAAAAGTCTGTATATAGAAATGCGGCAAATTTTATAGTATCTACATAATTCGATTCTTTATAGAGGCAATGTAATTTATAATCATCACAATATTATATCATTACAGGGATTGAACTCGGTATTTTCGTTGCGCCTGGAAGACATTACGGATGGTGCATTTACCATTGAACCGACTCTGGCGACTGGAAGTACATCGGTGAACATTCGTGTGGCAAATGGCTCGCTCGATTACGAAAATCCTAATCAGCGTAAATTCATCATTCTGGTAAGCTGATCGCTATGTACTCGTGAATTACATCGTTCCCGTTCTACTCGGCATGATTCAAAAGAAAATTGTACCATTGTAATTCCTCAGGTCGTGGCGGAAGAGGTCCACACAAATCCTAAACTTACCTCTACCGCAACCGTAGCTGTCTCCATCGCGGATGCAAACGATAATTCACCCTCTTTCAGTAATCCCACTTATACGGCCGTAGTGCTGGAAACTGCACCTCCTGGTACATCGGTTATAACGATTACCGCTAAGGATCGTGATAGTGGACGGTGAGAAAAATTCCTTTGCTATTTCTTCGTTCGACTTCGTTCAATATAACGTAAGATTTACAAGCGAGTTGTTACTCTAGATTCGGTACAGCTGGAATAGCTTATCAGTTACTTGGCCAAGGTGCTCAGCATTTTTCTGTCGACCGAAAATCTGGAGTTATCACTGTAGCTCCGTGCGCGACTCCTGGAACATTACCATGCTTGGATTACGAAGAACAAACGGAATATTTCCTCACCTATAAGGTATGCAACTTTAGTGGGCAAGTGCATAAAATTTAATTTTACTTAATCACAATGTATTAGGTCGTACGGAAGGTTCTGTCGGATTTCGTCGTCTGAATTTAAGTAATCGTAACTTCGCCAAAGTTAACGTATTTATTCAAAATAAGAACAATTACGACGAATACATCTTCGCCAACATTTCAATGGCAAAGGAATTTTTCATTTTGAATAAATACGTTCACTTTTGGCGGAGTTACGATTATTCGAATTTAGGCGACGAAATCGGACAGAACTTTTTGAAAGATTTAACATAACGCTATAATTTTTCTTTGTATTGATCAAACATTGAATCAAGTATTAGTGTAAGAATTGAATCTGCAGAAAGTAGAGTAGGTGAAATTACTTTCTATTCTAATTTGCTCTTGTCATTTTTCTTAGGCAACTGACAATGACGGGCAAGGACAAACAACCAGTGTTTCGCTACGTATCAGTTTATCAGACGCCAATGACAGTCCACCACGATTTTTACAAGACAAGTATCGTGCGGTTATAGATGAAGGTGCTGAAAAATTTGAACCCGACTTAAAGGTGCAAGCCCGAGATAAGGACAAAACGTCGAAAATTACGTACGCAATAATAGGTGGCGATGATCTGGGACTCTTCACTATAGATCCAGATTCCGGCGAAATTACGATAAAAAATAAAGGACCAGTCGATTTGACAAATTCAACACACGATTGGATCGCGCTTGTTATACAAGCGAGCGATGGAACTTTTGTCGATTCCGCCATCGTTAATATTACAATTCGCGATGTCAATAATAATGCACCGGTCTTTGAACGTAATTTGTACACTGCAAGTATACCAGAAATATCACCAATTGGTACGTTATCTTCTCTTCTTTATGTTCTTTTCTTCTCTGTCGATAATTACAATTTGTAAAAAATAATATTCGCGTGTTTTATTTAGGAACGGTGGTAAAGAAAGTTACAGCGACTGATGCAGATACAGGGATTAACGCGAAACTTGTTTATAGAATAGCTGTAGGAGCTTTCGATGATTTCACTATTAATGAAACGACAGGTGTCGTAACAGTATTTAGAAAACTAGATTATGACAATAAAAGGAGGTATCATGTGCAAGTTATAGCACTCGATAAAGGTATGTGAAAATACAATTTCGCTAGCTAGTATGTGAATGTACAATTTCATTTAGATAGTAATGTCCAAATAATTGTATTATGAATTTTTTTTACTATTCCATATACTGTACTACGGCAAATTCCTTCTTCTTGACTATTGCGTATAAAAATTGATAATCGGACAAAAGTTAATATATGGTATGAACCCAAAAATTTTAGCTGTTGAAAGAAAAAACTACATTTCATTTACACCAACCTAATACTTACCTATTATAATTAAAACAGTAATGTGCGTGCGTATTTGTGTGTTTCTTTTATAATTTTATTTTATAATTCTTCTTTTTAGGAATTCCTAGTTTAACCGGAACAACAATGCTGATGATAGACGTTGAAAACAGCAACGACAAAGCGCCTTATTTTACGCCGGAAACTCAAAGAGCTGAAGTTACAGAAGATACACCGATTGGCACTGTCTTTACAACATTAAAAGCTACAGATCCAGACAGTGTCAACTTGGAAGCATTAAACTTTGCTATTTCCGAACCAATTACAGCAATTGATAGAAACGGTCAACGAGTTAACGATAGTAAATCCTTTAAAGTATGATTTGATGCTTTGTTTTGCGATAATAAAAATTTAATTCTTATGTAATACAATACCAATATTTGCAGGACTTTTTTGCTGTTGACCGTGCAACCGGTCAAGTTTCTGTTGTGAGACCATTGGATCGTGACATTGCAGCAACAGTGAGCATTACTGTCGTTGTCAGTGATACAACAGCACCCACGTTACAACAAGGAAGAGGTACTACATATGTATTAAAAACATATACAGTATCTCGGATTTAGATAGGATATTCAGCAACTGTTGATAGAAAATTTAAAGGGTGATTCTAGAAACTGATGTAAGATGAAAATCAAGAATAAAAAAGTTGTTTTTAAGGCTTTATTCTTTAATTATTAATTAGTTTTAATTTTAGTAATTCGATGCTTAAATCTGACATGCTGTATACGAATATTATATAAATTTATACGTGATATTGTATATTATTATGTGTACTGAATACTTTCTTCTCATTTATAATTAGGTACTTTGGTAGTTACTATTATTGATGTGAATCACATGGCACCAGAATTCTTGAAGCCATGGACAAGAGAGAATCCGCGATATTTAATAGAAATGCAGGAAGAACAACCAACTGGGGCTGTTGTTGGAGCATTTACGGCAGTAGATGCAGATAGCAACATAGCAGGATATGCAATCATACCGCCAAGTCCCTACTTCAATATAAACAATGTCACAGGTTACTTATATTTTTTTACATTATAACCAAAAAAAGGAAACATGAAAAGTAATAAATATTACATAATTCGCAGGAATCGTACGAACTAGTCAAGTTATTGATTATGAAGAAACAAAACAATTGGAATTCACAGTGGTTGCCTATGATTCTGGAGTACCTCAATTAACTGCAACTGCAGTAGTAATAGTTACTGTAATAAATGTTAACGACCAGGACCCAAAATTTGAGAAGGAGTTATATAATGCATCTGTAAAAGAAAACTCGCCATCGGGCACGCATGTTACTGTAGTTAAAGCGACAGATGGAGACGAAGGCCCGTTCGGAGAAGTTAGTTATAGTCTTATTGGTGATCACGCCGCCGACTTTAATATTGGTAAACTATACTTTCTTTTTTACAGAATTAAATAAAATCATATTTTACAATTTATATTATAAATTTAAAAAATGGTAACATTTAAATAAACTATAGGTCACGAAACGGGGGAAATTACTGTTGGTGGTGCAACTGTACTCGACCGAGAAATGACACCAAAAATTACTGTAACAGTAATGGCCAGTGATGGTGCTCATATAAATTCTCGTCGAACTACCACTGTGCCAGTAATTGTAAAATTGATCGATGTTAACGATAATCGACCAATATTCACGCAACATAGTTACAGAGCCTCAGTTGCTGAAGATCTACCAGTAAATCCACCTGCACCAATTTTACAAGTAATTACATTTTATAAATCTATTTCCAAGTTGCATAAAATTTAAAGAAAGTAAATTGCTAAAACAACTAATACATAATGTATTTGTTTTAAGGTCGGGGCTGTAGATCATGACGAAGGAGACAACGGAGAAGTTTGGTACACCATAATTCGTGGAAATGAAAATGAATCATTTTCTTTAAACCGCGAAACGGGTATTTTATATCCTGGCGCAGCTCTTCTTGGCAGAGCTGGCTCCTATAGAATCGAAGTAGAAGCAAGAGACGGTGCTGGTAATGGTCCACATTCGGACAGGTGTTATATTGATATACGAGTAATGCCAGTAAATCAGCACAAACCCCAATTTGTTCTACCCGAATTAACGAATGCAACCGTTGAAGTGCCTGAAGTGCGTATAAAAATATATCATGAATAAAACAGTCTTTAGTCATAAAACAATACTAATATAACTATGAACAACACTTTTTAGAACACAGGTGTATCAAATTACTTGATATTAACGGTAAAAGCAATCGACAGAGATCCTGGTGAAAATGGACGCGTAAGTTATTATTTAAAAGTTGGAAATCGAAACACTCAAGAAACAGAAGAATTTTCAATAGATCAAGAAACTGGTGAATTAAGATCAAAAATTATTCTTGATCGTGAAGCGAAAAGTAAATTTGAGGTAAATTTTGTTTGTGTATTTAAAACTCATTTGTAATAATTACATTAAAAAAAAAATAATCTTAATTTCAATGTTATTTTAGCTTGTTCTTGTTGCTGCCGATCACGGTACTCCTACAGCATATGAAACATTGCGACTACTTACTGTGCAATTAGTTGATACGAATGACAATGCGCCGCAGTTTTATGATGAATATCATTTTCATGTATCAGAAAATCGTCCGAAAGATTACTTTGTAGGAAAAGTAATTGCGGAAGATAAAGATGAAGGCAGACACGCTAAAGTTTACTATTACATAGAAGCTGGTAAATAATATTACATATACTAAGAAATTTATAAGGTTACACGACTACTAGACGATAACACAAATATAAATATCTTTCAGGAAACGAAGATTATGCTTTTTACATGGATAAATCTGATGGCAGCATATATGCAAATAAATCATTTGATCGTGAAACCCGAGACAAATACATTTTATCGATATTAGCTTCCAATGATCCTGATATTTACATAAATCCTATAGATGCAGGACGACCTTTAACACAGCACAATACAGATCATGGTCATGTAAATGTAACCATAAATATTTTAGATGAAAACGATAATCCACCAATATTTGAGCGTAATGACTATTACGCGGGTGTTAATTCAATGGCAAATGTGAACGATTTTGTAACAAAAGTAACAGCATCAGATTTAGATGTTGGAGATAATGGCACACTTCATTACTACGTGGCTGGTGCAAATCTCTATAAATATGGATCAGACAAACCTAGTGGCTCCATAGTTCCGAGTCCATTCAATGTAACACAAGATGGCAAACTTGTCACAAGTGGATATATGGCCGAATATAATCAAGACAGGTTCGTCGTTGAAGTTATAGCAAAAGAAACTGCCATTCCAGAAAGATATGCTATGACTAAAGTTCATGTAAGTTATTTCATGTACTTCTGCTTTGATATATTCTCATTTTTAAATCTTTACTTCTCTATATCAATAAAGGTTTGGGTATTTGAAGCTTCACAATTAATAAGAGTTATCTTGTCACGACCTCCCGAAGAAGTAAATCGCGAACGTGATGAAATTGTGTCACAATTATCAAATGCAACTCAAAGTAGGGTTGTTGTTGATGATATCCGGTATCATGTGGACGCATCAGGTCATATTCGCAGAGAATGGTAAAAAAAAAAAAAAACGTTTCACTCATTTCCTAAATCAACATATACCTTCTTAAGAACATAACATTTGAATATATTCTATAGGTGTGATATGTATTTACATGTTGTGGAACTAAAATCCCAAACTATTGCTCCTATTCCACAAGTACTCAAAGTTATTGATGCAAAATATGATTTCTTGAAAGATTACTATGCAGGTTTTGCTATTGAAAACGTTGTAGTAAGTATTTCTTATAATCTGTAACTCTACCGATATAATAATATCATTATATTTACTGATAACATAATTTTGCAGCCTGCTTATGCAGGAGTACAGGAAGAACCTTTTGATCCTGCATTAGCAGCTTTAATAGCCTTATTAGTGGTTTTACTAGTTGGTGCAGTTACAGTCACAGTAGTTTGTTGCTGTTTACGCCATTGGTAAATATAAAATGAATAAATATATTTTTCCTTCAATATGGAACACATAAAATGTATTTTATCATTTTAGGGTAATTACTGTACCAAACGATATACGGAAAAAAGACGGCCTAATAAAAAAACAAATTATCGATGAATTAAATACTACAGAAAATCCTTTATGGATTGAACAGTGAGTAAAACAATTCACATCTTTTTCACAGAAGCACGATACAACAAAACATAATGTATGCATACCGTAATTGTTTTTAGAAAACTTAAATTATATGAAGAACAAGAATTAACAATGCAAGTATTTAGTGAACCTGAAGGTGGTTTAGGTACAGAAAGACGAGGAAGTGGTATAAGTATTGGTATGGGTGACACATCTCAAGATAATACTTATGCTACGATTCAACGTCCACTGCCTACAAATAGGCACCGTCCAACGACGCCAGACTACACAACGCTTCCAGGAAACCATAATGTACGTAAAAAAGTGAGACGAATATTACACAAGGTGCCACCAAACTGATGGTACAACCTGAAAAAATGTAATTTTACATGAAAAAATAAGATAAAAATATAGATTAATAGTGTTTTATACTGGTGTGAACACCGTGTATAACTTCACGATCTGCTGATGTTCACTCTGGAACTGAGAAGACGGTCGATCTTTACCGACCGATATCATTATTGATTATACAGTCTGAAAAGAACCAGAAACGGAGACGAATCTCGAAGTGATCGTTATGTTTATTACTTTATATTACGAAAACCATTGTAAACAAATCTTAGTTGTCGTTGTGTTCGACCTAATGACGAGGAAGCCATTCACAACAATACGAAGCATCGTTTCTAAATAAATCGATATTGAGAATGTATCTTTAATCTAAGAAATATCTCTAAAAACGACTTATATTATTATTTGTCCCATTATTGTAAGTAATGTATATAGGATAAACCGTAAAACCAAATTGTTTTTTTTTTTTTTTTAATTATTTTCGATCAATATAAAATATTTCTCTAACTCTTCAATTGTAATCTTATTTTTTCATGTAGAATCACACCTTTATGAGTTATATCACTAAATTAATGACATCCTGTACATTCAAGAAGTAAATCTACTTATGTTATATATTTTATTACAGCTTTACGAATCAGCGATGGGTTTCCAAGGATCAACATTTCAACCATCCTCGAATGTAATGCCTCAACTTACACTTGATTGTGATGGCCAACCCCAATTTGTTTCAGGGCTAGTATAAATTAAGTTTTACGCCAATCCCTTTTTTAATCAACAATATACCTTCATCACCATACATTGTACCTCTTTAACTACGGCTCTAACTGTTGCACGCGCCTTCCCAAAATTACACTCGCATGCACACACCTTTTCGACAATAATCGGATAATACCGTTAGGTTTGTCTGCGAGTAGACGCGTGTACAAGAAGAGTAAAAATTGTCCCAAATAATGCAGATAAATCTACTCTGACTGTGCATCTTTTGCTATTTCAGTTCGAACTCTTCAATGGTGAAGAATACAAGATGAAGAGTAACGATGAACCACAGTCAATATTACTGGATTAAATATTTCCCTGTAGCTGGTGTGTGCATGTATATATGTGTGCGTTGCCAACCTGTGGTCTGACATAATTAATTGTTAGGTTCACTGTTAGGAAAAATAATAATAGATAATAAACACTGTGAAATAGCTTAACGACCGAAGCTTGGCACGACAGATATATGTATATAAATGAATGTGTAGACTCCGTCCAGAGCAATTTTTTGATTACTTCCTCACTAGTTTAGTATTTATATAACTTATGTACGTTTTACACGTAAAAAATAACGTACTTATAGTGTCATTACTTTCTATATGAACAAATGAATCACTGCCATATCATGGCATTAATACAACACAACGTTTTACATAAAAGTAATAAACTCATAATGTTAAAAGTATTTGTAATAAGAAAAAAATCTAATGAAAATATCAACATATATCGTAAGTTTGTGTATAATTATTAATTTAGAATACATGTATTTATTTAAGTTAGGGTTAAACGACTGATTTTTATCCAATTAATCTGTGATTTGATTACGCCCGCGTATGTACGTGAATGTTAACTTCCATTTGATATTATGTACGGATCATTGGCGATGGGCGGATATAGTCATATCATAGCTAGTTAAATGGAGAAGTTCGCATTAAATTTCGGTATTATGTGAGAACATAATCATTTCACGTTATTTGTGAAGACCACATCACTTTTCATCACCTAAACCGTCCTCAACGAAACACGTGTGCATTGGGGTCTATGAAATTTACTGCGAACGGCTCTCATCATACGTATATCATATACTCGAAAAATAATAGCTTAAACATGATCATGTTATGTCTATGAACACTTAATGTAAAACCAATATCAGTATCATGATATTACTAGATGGTTATGAATATTCCAGTTAGTAAAAGTATCTGTTTATTGAATATAAATTTATTGTAACATATTTTATGTAAGCCATTGATAAAAAAAATATTCGTATGTCAACATTCATCACATCTCACATCATGTGGAAATAAATATTCAAATCTGTGTACATTTAACTCTTCTCAATATCCATTTATTTACCTTTACATAAATTCTTCTCTTCTATGACAATATTAGGTTTATCATCTTTTAATTTTGATGTATAATTAAATATTTGAATTGTAGAAGAAGGTTGTTCAATCCATAATTTATAACCTTTTTTTGTAGGAAATCTTTTAACACTTAAACATGTTAAACATGTCCATTTTACACTTTTTACTGGTTTTGATACTAAGCGTACTCTTGCTGTTTCACCAGGAATAAGTGGAGACTGACAGCATTTACAAATTGTCCTTTTGATATCAGACTCTCTTAAAAACAAGTAATTGCACGTCTTACATTTTTTTACAACAAATGAATTATAGTTCACTATTTAACACGTTCTGTGCCATGGGAGAATTACAAGTTTTATCAGAGCATTGAAACAAAGTTAAAAAGTTACACTAAATATTTAATTCGAGAAAAATATCGATATAAGTTAAATTTTTAACACTCTAATCTTTCTTTTCCTAATCTAATCACAGAATAACTTTCTCATTTAATGAAAATTCCATTTTCGAAAATTCGTACAGCAACAGTGATACACGTGGTACGGAACGTGTTGAGTAAACATATGTATATGTAAGTAGTTCAGCTTCTATAACTTACATTCGTAAAACAGATTTTTTTCCACATCCAACCATTATATTACCATAATATGATGATACTACCCTATTTTTCAATGCCATTAAATAACTTGCCTGTATAAAAAATTTCTCTTAAAAAACTTTTATAATTCGCAACAATTGAAAGTAAACACCTATTCAAGAATATCATAATCACCTGGTATAAATAATTCATCTTTTCAAAAACGTCTTTACCTTGGCATAATTTTGTATCTGTATCTACGACAATTATAAAATATATAAAATGTATAAATACATAATACCTGCTTGTCTAAATGTGTTGAAAGTTTCAAATATTAAACCTTCGTACTAACCCATGGTAGTCTTTTTCAATGACAAAATTTTTACGAAAAAAATTAAATACTTCGCAATTGCTAGATTTTAACATTTATGTATCAAAAACTATATAATAAATTGTATAATCATCTGACATTAGTAATATAGGTTATATTGTATTGTTTACATTTACTTATACACCATTTACAATAAAACGTATGCCATGTCCTCTATACCACTAACCAGGAGGCAGTGATGCCAGAAATTCTGGCAGGAGTCCTCAAATACACTGCTCATTTATTAACGAAACGTTACTAGTTTATAGAGTTCGTCAAACGAAATACAGCGAGTTATAGAAGCATTCGTATTCCTCAATTATTATTTTTATAAATAATAGAGGATATTATGTTAAGGCGCTGTTACCATAAAAATATAAAAACCGCTATATTAAAATTTTAGAAGATATTCGTATTTTTTTACGCGTTTCATTTCTTACAAGTAGAATTTGCAATGAAAAAATCGTAAAAAATTCCTTAACATACGTTTCCGTATCTATAATACGCTAGATTTTTTTTAGAAATTTTGCGTATTACTAAATAGGGAAAGTAGAGCAAAAACGGATAATTCGAATTTTCCCTGTTATTACACCCATTCGTCGTAATAGGTTGAAACTTGGTGTCAGATGTTTTCTTTCGATAAGATATGGAATGATCCATCGCTAGACATATCATCACATTAAATACGAAATTTTAAAACCAAATATCAAATCTGGTAGAGGAAGATAACAAAATATGTAAACGATAAAGACATATAGGCCAGAGATGAAATAACGATTAATTTTATGAATAATATTACGTAATTTTTTTTTCAAGCAAAACAATTTTAAATATTTTTAGATACATATAACATTTAATTGGATTACTTATTGAGGGATTACATTATGAATTACCATTATCCATGTAAACAATACCACTGTTGAAGTTTACAAATACTAACACTGATATGAATAATTAATAATAAGATACAACAGTAATCAAAATTATTCAGGTGTATACAATATCAGGCAATTCTTATATAAAAAAGTTTTATTCCATATCTTTGATGCTCATTGAGATTCTCACCATATGTTCTAATACTTTATTTTACAAAACATGTTATATACAATTTTTAAAAATTCATTTTTTTAATATATTATAAAAATGTCTAGAATAAATTGGTTCTTGTGGTCGTTCTCTCACTGGAGTAGATGTGTAATCTTTGTATGTGTTAGGAGTGCCTTCTGAAATTGATGTCATAAATGTACGTAATACACAACTATCATTAGGTGCTGGTATTAACTCCTTTTGTTTTTTTTTACACTTCCAACTAAGATTAGGTGTAAATTCAACTTCTAAAGTTTCTATGTTTCCAACAGAGTGTTGATTAATACTTGTACTACTGTTTACACTTACTCTATAAAATACAAATAACACATTACAATGTTAATTGTTTATACATAAAATATTTAAAAAAAATCTTACTTATCTGAACTATCATTGTGAGTGTAATGATAACCATATTCTCCTAGAACACTTTCTATATTATTGCACTCTTGTATTAAACTTTCATATGCATCCTTCGTTTCTTGAAGAAATTGTTCTATGTTAACGGAACCTTCTGATTTACTTTCTTTTATTTCTGATAAAATTTCTTCTATCCCATTCTGAAATAATCAAATATTAAAAAATGTTTTATATACATGTAATGAATTGATAATATTTAATAAATTAATGTATAACACAAACTTGAGTATTTTTTATAACACTCCATATAGCTTCTATATGAGAATTTGTCTCTTCAGTACATTCTGCAAAACGTCCAATTAAAGCAATTGGCAGTTTCCATGTATCACTTAATTTTTCAATATCATTATCAAATTGCCGAGCTTGAATTATTAATTTCTCAAAATAATTTGAGCACATTGTACAAAATTAATATAATTTTTTCGTTTTTTTAATAGCTTGACTGTTTTAAATATTTATGTAGCCGTTTTTCAAGTAACTTATGCACTTTAACCAACATAATATATAGAATTCCCTGTATATGCAGTTACCTTCACCAGTATTTATATTATTTACACTTTTTTCTATTTAACAATTTATAAATTCAATGAATAAGAAACCCTATCAAATGAAAAGTTATTAAATGAGAACATATTTAATCCCAATAAATTTTAAACAATTTATATTTGAGCACTTTTCATGAAAGATATTAATAAATTAATAACATGGGCTAATAAATAATCAGAAATACTTTTCTTCGTAACTAATTCTCATATTATTAAAACACTTACAAATTTATAGAAAAATATGTAAATAATTGTATGATAAATTTCTCAAACATTTAAGATATTCACAAGAATGTAGCGTTGTTCATTAGGGATTTTATTTTCTCGGAGTAGACATAGAACTAATGGAATAAAACGTAAAGGGAGTTTTAACAATAACCGTAAATTTTACAAGCAATAAATAACAAAGAATAAACTTAGCAATAAATAACAACAAATATGAACTTGGTATGAACTTTCTGGACGCCAACGAACTTATGCGATTTCATGTCCCTTTTGTTCTAGAATTTTCCCTCTCTTTTTCCTCATTCCATTTTCTTTGCAACGATTTATAGTTTCGATACAAACTCTTGGACAGCTGGTGTTAAAATGATTTTTGCACGTGTCGTTTGCGCATTATATGCCATTTCACATGGAATCACTGCCGTCTGTCCGTTTGTGTAAGTTTTAGGGTTTCGGCAAGAATCGATGATACTCATTGTCCATGCTAGTAATATCATGGCAATAGAAAAGTATTCCTAAACTTATCCAAATTTAGATAGTGTGAAGCTATTTTCGACAGAACGAACATACCGAACATACTTAGTGTATACTTTTGTCATACTTGTACCAACGTCCATTTTCAGATGAAAACGCTCGTAACGGATTTTAGGGGAACATTAATGACAACAGTGTGAACGGTATAGTAAAAACTATAGAAATGTGAAATTGTGAACTGCACATGAAGGCGTTTTATGCATATAGGATACTAGGTGCAACGGGTAATGGCTACTGCAATATTGTAAGAAAAAGTGTTTCGTCTGACATTAGTAGAAATGTAGTTCGTGTTATTCAAACAACATTTTGTGCTTTAATTGTATATACGGTTTTTTTTTACTAATTAAGGATAATATTAAACTAATTTGTTCCATGACTTCCCTACTGAATACGTAAGTAAATAGATTTTATCTTAAGTTTTAAGTTTATGTAATATAAATTAAAATAATTAATATGACATAAAATCGATTAAATTAATACGAGTGAATATTGTTATATATGAAGTAATACATATTTGATATGTGATTGAAATTCAAACAATGTCTTCTAAAAATTAACTTATGTTTTAAATGTTACTTATGTTAATAATCAATTTTAAAGTTGACTGTTATTTCAGGTTAACAGAAAATGACAGTATTAGAAACAGAAGAAGATGCAGATAAACGTTCAGTTCCCCCTAGGAAGAAATTTTGCTTATCCCTTTCTGGCCGTGAACGTACAATTTCTAGCAAGATTTCTCAGGCTCCTCCAACTTTGGAGAGGGAAAGCCTTTTGAACAGAAATACCTTTACACATAGTATGTAACTTTCTTTATTTCACAAATTTGTACACATTATTAAATAGGTGAAAATTACTAAACTAATTTGTAATTATTTGTAATTTAATATTCATAAATTATGAAGGTACAAGCAAAATGTTGAATGGTTATCGCAATCAGCTGAGCAATCATCAAGATGGAAGTTATGATGTATCAAACAGTGGTACAGAAGGATTGAGGATAGCTACTTTATGTAATTTAGGAAATACATGTTTTTTGAATAGTGTGATATATACTCTACGATTTGCACCATCCTTTCTACATAATTTGCATCACTTAGCCACTGATTTATCTAATTTAAATGATAAACAGCTTCAAACTAAAGTAAGTTTTATTGTATTACAAAAATATATTGTTTTATAATTCTAATCATTATATATTTTTTATTTTAGATAAAGTCATCATCTTTGGGTAGAACTGGTGTGTCACTTACATCAAGTGGCAGCCGAAGTTGGAGTAGCAAAGACCTGTTAGCTTTAGCTGGACCCACTGGGGATAATAATAAACACAAAATACAAATAGCTACAGAGAAGTTACATGAATTGTTTATGGCATTACATGCATCAGAAGCAAGGGAAAACAGTGAACCATATCAGCCAGGTGCATTTCTGCAGGCTCTTAGGTATATATTATAATGAAATTGAAATTGTGTCTGTATGTATTATATTTAACCTCTTTTCAGAGAAGTGAATCCTATTTTTGAAGGAAATCAGCAACAAGATGCTCATGAGCTTTTAGTATGTTTACTTGATAATATCAGGGAAACATTCCAATTGTTGGTCAGATATAGAGAAAGTCAGTTTGGTCAAAATAACGATGAATTGTCAAATTTTTCCACTGAACACTTAACAGATATGCAATCAGAAGGTAGTAATTCTAATAAACGAAGTATTCGCAAATCTAGAAAAAAAAAGAAAATAACAACAAGAGGAAGTTCGTCTTGTCTTGTGCAATCGAATTTAAATGGAGTTTCAGTATCTTCTAGACCATATGAAAATATGAAATATTATATGAAATATTGTATGAAATATGAAAATGGTCATTCTGAATTTTTGGAAAGTAATGGAGATATAAGCAGTCATAGGCCAGAAAGCAAAAAATGCTTTATTTCAGAAGACTTTGAAGGAGTTAGTCTTTTGCGAACTACATGCCTTGAGTGTGAACATGTTACAGAACGAAAAGAAACATTTTGCGATATATGTGTGCCTATTGATATTGACAGATCTAGTGAAAAAGGTAGATGACATTAATAACTTATGTTAAATAACTTATAGTAACCAAACTAAGCATATTTAGTTGTAGATGAAGAAGTTAGACCAATGGATAGTAGCGAAGTGTACAAACGTGCAGTAGTCACTAGTGAACTTCTTTGGGGCAGAGATAAATATTGGTGTGCTCGTTGTCTTCGATATAACGAAGCTCGAAGAGCTGTGTGTTTCCCATCTTTACCAAGGTTACTCATATTACAGTTGAAACGATTTTCTACTGCAGCTGGGTAAGTTTGCACTTGTTATATATTGCATATGAAAAAACAATATCCTCATATATATAAATGTATTATATTAGGTCAATGGAAAAAATTAATAATCATATGCCAACGCCACTAACGTTACAATGTTTTTGTGAAGAATGTAACAGCGATCAAACATGTGCAAGTACAGGTGGCAGATCAAAATCGCGACATGTATATAAACTGTATTCTGTGATTATGCACCAGGGTGCAACAATGACAGCTGGTCACTATGTTGCTTATACCCGTTTACCTGATGAATCTGCGCTCGGAGAGTATTTCGAATGTGATCGAGATAGTAAGCGGCAAACTGCTGGTCAGGGTACTAGCAGCACAAATACAAATTCATCTTCATCAGACAAAACGTCCGGTATATTAAAATACTTCAGAAGTAAACCGAGTGCTAGTGAAACTAAGGAACAGTTAGTCAGGGTTGGTTGTCGCAGTATAGATTGTTGTGGTATACGACGTCATAAACATCCTGGTACTTGGTTGGAATGTGATGACGAAGCAGTACACGTGATTCCATTGCGAGAGTTAGAAGATAAATTAGCACCAAATCCTCGAAATTCCGCCACTCCTTATCTCTTATTCTATGTAAGGTCCAGGACGTAGATATTCCTTTTCCCAGATAAGATATATACAGTATTATCCAGATAAGTGACCGCGAAACAAGTCTATTTGTGATCACTTAACTGGAGTGTAGCATCGTTTTTTCATTGGTGGATGATCCCCTCGACGCCTGGAATTAACATTTTTCTCTAACGTCAACAAAAATATCAAATCTAAGAGTGCAATGAGCTTTGTTCCTCTCTGTTGACGATTGTATTGTCGCATACATTCCACATCTGTTTACAATTGTACGTACTGTATCAGGCTTAAATGAGCGTGTATTATTTCGTAGAAAATAAACTATGTATTGAAATCACGTTAAACGTTAGAATTTGATAGTTAAATAATACGCAATAAGTTCTTCAGTCTAAACGATAAATGCTACTGAAATCTTACTATCAATACGACAGAGTGTCAATTTGTATTTAGATGATTAATGTTAGTTGGGACATGGAGCGTTTTATTTTTAAGTTATGTCTGTAAAAATAAAAGTGTGTATTCTTGATTTAATTTCCCTGTTTTTTTTAGCTTTTAGGTACTTTTAAATTGAAGCGATAGTGCAAAAATGACAATTGTAATAATTAAGTAAATTTATATTATAGATAACATTTTCAATAATATATTTTTTTTATATTTTTTTGGTAAAATTAAATTATAAATATATTTCGTTTAATACATTTTTATGTTTCTAACTCCTTAGCAGAGAAAATGTGACTAAATTTTGCCACCAAATTGTTTATAATTGATTTAAAACAATACTGCTCAGAGAGATTCGAGATATAATAATTTGAAAATTAAATTCGTTGCCGAAGATGTTTGCGTTGTAAATGTTTTTAATTTAAGTTTTACTACTAATTGTGGAAGCACCGTTAAACATGCGAAAATCAATCACTATTACATGTAGTTTATAATAAATATTTATACACCCAAAAAGTAACTTAAAAGTTTCAAAGCGGAACAAGTGTTGTTAGACGATAACAGAGTGAAATAGAGCAAAGAACAATGAATTATTCATTGTATGGAATATCCTGTTTACGTTAAAATATTTGTAAAACGTTAGGATGTCAGTTAATCATACGTGGCTATATCCATATATCGATTATTTCGATAGGGGTCAGTAGTGGATAGTCGTGTTTCACCTGTCAGCCTGACATATTGTAGTTTCTTCTACTTTCCGCTTGCGTTATACTGAAGTTTTGCCTTTTTTTACGTATAAATTTCTTCTAACTTGGGTATGATAACATTATTATTCCTTTAAAAAGGTAAGTTAATCAAACAAAAATATATAATAAAATATTAGCATTGTCGAATGAAATCAAATTCGCGCGCTACAAATAAGGAAAATTCAAACAAAAATAGAATATTCTTATGTACGTTATACGTTTCTGAAAATATATTTTTCATTTTGATACTGCATTTGCTACTAAATAATACCGATTGTAAATTAAGTATAAGCATACGGCAATGAAATTATTTTGCTGAAAATTAGAAGAAAACAATATTCGCAGTTTCGTACTTCGAAAATATGGAAATGAGTAACATTGATAAATAATCACTGTTTATGTGCTTACATATGTCCTAATATTTATGAGAATTGTTTAAAATTTCAATCGTTTAGTTATTTAAATATTAGGATACGAAGATGGAAGAGTTAGGAGAAAAGGCGATTTTTAAATACAATCACGGACATAGTATGTGTTATTATAATAGTACAAATATGGTGCATTTTTCATAAGTTATATATATACACACACATACACATCATTATTTGAAATAATTTGTTTCTTTATTTACATAAATACGAGTAAACTACGTACCTGCGATTTATTCAGCAGTAGCAATTTAACGTCAATTTGTTAACAAAACGGTGAGTGTAGTACATATGTAAGAATTTTATTGAATATGCGTGTCTTGATGTGAAGCACTTTATTAATGTAAAAATTGTTCACGTTATAATTTTTCGAAAAACGTAAAATATCGTTGTTTAAGCGTAAAATTAGTCACAAATTGAAAATGAAAACTACTTAACGAAAATTGCAAAAGTATATAATACTTTCACGATACATAATGCACATTTATCGTTCTAACGAAGGGAGCGCAATCAATACACTCGCAGCATATTGTCAATAACTAGACGGATGTAATATTATTGACGTTTATTATATGCACTGTACATCATATTTCAGTGTACCTTTCTTTTACAACAAACTACATTTTATATAAAATAGATGAATTCATTTATTAAATCACTGTTCACATACTTCATTTATCTATACTATCATACATTTTCAACTTTGCTCAAACTAATGATAAATGACTATAATACAATATTTATATATTTATTGTATAAAT